TCCCCAATGTAGTGCAAATAAGCTACGATGTTTTTATGATTAATCAGGTCTGAGGGTCTGCCAAGCACCCGTTTCCTCCGTGATGTATGTATGTATATATGTGTGTGTGTGTGTTTATATATATATATATATATATATATATATATATATATATATATATATATAATATATATATATATATATATATATATATATATATATATATATATATATATATATATATATATATATATATATATATATATATATAATATATATATATATATATATATATATATATATATATATATACTCATTCTTATTGTGGCTAGTTTCATTTTCATATATATATATATATATATATATATATATATATATATATATATATATATATATATATATATATATATATATAATATATATATACGTGTGTGTGCGAGCTGAAGAAAGGAGGAGGAAATTAGGCCACGACAGCTAACACCTCTTCTTGTTTCCCATCAGGAGGAAAGGATCGAAGGGGAACACCGGAAGCCCTGCGTGACGTCACACAGGTCGATACTCGGAGTGGCCGAGGCTTAGGACTCCCACCAGGTGTACGCTACCTCCCGGGACGACCATTCACCTGCTAAGGAGAAAGGCCGAGGGAATTACTCTCCAGGTGGACGTGGGACACATCCACGAAATTTGGTCTTTGGTCTCAGCCTTTGTTCTTGCCGAGACCAGGCGGAATGGCCGAGGCTGCCGGTGCACATTAGGCGAGGATCGACGGTTACACTGCGCCATCAGCTCAAGCCTAGAAATTCATCTCTGTGTGCTGTAGATATAGCCGAAAAAGAGCTACGATTCGAAGTCAGTGTAGCGGCAGTCCCTATAGACCTCCAGGCAGTTTTCATTTGACTTTCAAGACCTTGCTAATTACAAGGTTGCTGGGGAAGATACTGTGACTCTTAGTTCCCACAAGTAAGGTGTGTGACGTAAGAATACAAAAGTGGTTCTGTTACGGTTGACAGACTGTATTTATTTAGGTCGAAGGAAATGGTAATGAAAAAAAACTATTATAACAAATTAGGTACCTACTGTGCAGTATTTGTCAAATTTGCAACATGGAAGCTGTATAGAAGGCGTACATTTGCAATACCTTGTGTAATATAAAGGAAGAAACAAAAAAGAGACAGTCAAATGCATATGGGAGCCTCCACCAGACACACAATCCGGGAATCTACAAGAATAAAAAAGCTGTTCAGAACACAAATAACTATATATATCTTTTTTCTTCCAATAAGGCCGGCCGCCCCCGTCCCTCAAGACGTCCGCTGTGACAGTGCTCGGTCACCTGCGTCAGGCCGGAAATTCCCTGGCCTTGCTTCTCGAAAATATGTAAATATGGAAGGTCCAACAATTTCATGGTGTGAAAGGGAAGGAAAATCACAATATCGGTTTGCAGAGTTTTCAAATGGTTATCATGCATATAAAGTGTGTACGAGTACGTATATAAATATATATATATATATATATATATATTATATATATATATATAATATATATATATATATATATTATATATATATATATATGTATGTATGTATGTATGTATGTATATGTATATTATTTACACATGCCTATGTTTATGTGTGTGTATACATATACATACAGAGTATACGTACACCGTCATATCTAATTGCGCTGTATATGTTATATGGAATGTACGGCAGCGAAAAAGACAGGGGTTTGCTCATCACATTTCCATCACGGGAACGGTGGCAGCTGTGAATAGATGTGAGCTGAACTACTGTACAGATGTTTCAAATTCTAAGTAAAAGCTTGCTTAGTTCTTTCATTTTCTTACCTATAGAAATAGATTAAAGATTATATACACTTGGATACATATGTATGTGTGTGTGTGCGTATGCACACACACGTACTAACACACACACATACACACAGACACACATATTACATACATACATGCATATATATATATATATATATATATATATATATATAATATATATATGTGTGTGTGTGTGTGTGTGTGTGTATGTGTGTGTATATGTATATATTAATGTATATGTATATATATATATATATATATATATATATATATATATATATATATATATATATATATATATATATATATATACATATATATATATATATATAATATATACATATATATATATATATATATATATATATATATATATATATATATATATATACATATATATATATATATATATATATATATATATATATATATATATATATATATATAATATATATATATATATATATATATATATATATATATATATATTATATATATATATATATATATATATAATATATATATATATATAATATATATATATATATATATATATATATATAGATATATATATATATATATATATATATATATATATATATATATATATATATTATATATATATATATATATATATATATATATATATAATATATATATTATATATATATATATATATATATATATGTA